GGAGGAGAGGGAAGAGGACACGTAGAGCAAGAGGAACAGCAGCCAAAACAACCAGAAGGTCCAAGAACAACCAGCAAAGGCACGCGATCACAGCAAGCCGGGCAGGCATCAGATCAAGAGACCAGAGACAACCACATGGCCAATCACCAAGCCAGGTACGAGGCCAGACAAGTAGACAGGCATGATGACAGGCACAAGGACGAGTAGAGAACAGACACGACCACAGACACACAAAGACAGACACGAGGATGGACACCAGAGCATAGCCGAGCCGAGCCGAGCTGAGCAGAGCCAAGTATAGCAGAGCAGAGGAGAGCATAGCCGAGCAGAGCAGAGCAGAGCCGAGCCGAGCCGAGCTGAGCATAGCAGAGTAGAGCAGAGCAGAGCAGAGCCGAGCCGAGAGCAGAGCATAGCACAGAGCAGAGCATTGTAGAGCAGAGCCGAGCCGAGCTGAGCAGAGCAGAGTAGAGTATAGTAGAGCATAGCAAAGCAGAGTATAGCAGAGTAGAGCAGAGTAGAGCAGAGTATAGCAGATCAGAGTAGAGCAGAGTAGAGCAGAGTATAGCAGATCAGAGTAGAGCAGAGCAGAGCCGAGCATAGCATAGCAGAGCAGAGCCAAGTGTAGCCGAGCAGGGGCGAGCAGAGCCAGGGGGGCGGGGACGTACCAGCGCGTCCATCTCTCTCTCTCTCTCTCTCTCTCTCTCAGAATCTCTCTCTCTCTCTCTCTCTCTCTCTCAGAATCTCTCTCTCAGAATCTCTCAGAATCTCTCTCTCTCTCTCTCTCTCTCTCTCTCTCTCAGAATCTCTCTCTCTCTCTCTCTCTCTCTCTCTCTCTCTCTCTCTCTCTCTCTCTCTCTCTCTCTCTCTCTCTCTCTCTCAAACGGCGCAAGAGAAAGTGAGAAAAGGGTTACACTTTATGGTGGTATACCTTGATGCATTGACTTCTTTTACTGGGTTTTCATCGACGTGTAGTATCATGAGTAACATTAGCAAAACTGCAAAAAGTCCATATACTATGTAGATAAACATTGGTTCCTTCGCGCTTACGATCATCCATTTGATTTTTCGGATAAAATACCGGCGTCATCTATGCTAGGGTACATTAACGAAACTGCAGCAAGTGAATAAATCGCGTATATAACCGTCTCTGCATGATACGCTGCTTATTTCACTTTCTACAATTTTAACTGCATCTTCTAACATTGTTGATATTAACAAAACTGCAAAAAGCTATTGAAAGGCGTATATAACCCAAATGTCTACTCGTTGTCCGCCCACTGTTGGCCATGAAAGTTCGTGGTCGACTACATCTCTGCTCGCGCTTCAGCTTTCATGCTTCTCTCTGGAAAACCTTCTTAATCCAAAACATTCTCTAAAATAATTATTAAAATAAGCTTGTCAACGAACAGCCATTGCGCCTTTCTCTGCAAAAAGTTTCTCTTGAAAAGTTTCTCTAGCAAATGTCGCAACTCTTAGCACACCTCTGCCCGTGCATTTTTTCTGATTGAGCGGTCAGTGTGTTGATATGTCTTACCCGCCCCCTCTCTCTCTTTCTCTCTCTCTCTGACTTCTCGCTTCGCATACTCCCCCTCTCTAAGTTTGCATGCAAAGTTGTTGTACATCTCTTGATCGTATCCACGCCCACCGCCACATCTCTGAATCATCACATAAAACCAAAGAAAAGTGCAACCTCCTCCCATCATCCCTCTGAATTCTCCACCAGCCACCTCCCAACTCTCTCCATCCCTACCCCGCTCCCACCCCCCTCTCTGCCCCTGCCCCCCAGTCTCCTCCCCTCTCTTCATTTCATCTGGTATTTTGGCAGCGCAGCACCAGCAGCTGAAAAAAAAAAAAAAAAGGTCCGACCCCGCCTCTGCGCTGCGTCTCCTTCCCTCTGCGCTGCGTCTCCTTCCCTCTGCGCTGCGTCTCCTTCCCTCTGCGCTGCGTCTCCTTCCCTCTGCGCTGCGTCTCCTTCCCTCTGCGCTGCGTCTCCTTCCCTCTGCGCTGCGTCTCCTTCCCTCTGCGCTGACTCCAGTGCGCGCTCTCTGTGCGTGAGCGGGTGTGTGCGTGTGCGTGCGGGTGTGTGCGTGGGTGTGAGTTCGTGTTCATCTGCCATCTGTGTGTGTGTGTGTGTGTGTGTGTGCGCGCGCGCGCACTTTGTGACGCTGGCTGCTGCTCTTCTATTCTCAAGCGTGTGCTGCTGCTGCCATGCTCCTATGGTGTGTGTGTGTGTGTGTGTGTGTGTGTGTGTGTGTGTGTGTGTGTGTGTGTGTGTGTGTGTGTGTGTGTGTGTG